AATTCTTTGGAAAAGACCAAATTACATCTTTTTAATATTTACTCAACTTTATTGTTAACACCTACTGTTTAATGTAAGTTTTGAGAGTCTAGGAATAATAGTATAAGATATAAAGTAATTATAACATTTGAACTGTTTGTTTTCTGTTCAATACATAGTGTGAGCTATGTATACAGGTCAAATGTGTTATTGAGAGAGATGAAGTTTATCCTTCAGTCTTGTAGGGACTCTTAATGCTTAACTGTATGAAGTTTGTTAGACACTATGAAGCAGATCATAGATGATATAAAAGAGCATATAATTCTATGGATGTTAAAAGGCAAATAATAATGGTCATGAATAAGACTAAGAATAAAGGTGGAGAGGTGTCTGTTAGCTTTTATAAGGTTATAATTACATGTATGTTACACAAATATGTATGTTACTTGAAAATGAATATTGATTATTCAATATTAGGCGTGATTAGGCGTATCAGAGGAATTTCTGTAAGTATTAATCACAATAAAATTAAGGGGGTGGCAGTAAAAACACACTGTTAGCTGAGCAGAGCTGTGACGTCATCAAGTACTCCCCGCTTCCAGTTGTAAAGTTTGCGTCCTCGGAAGTCTGGACTTCAAAGTGAACTTACCAAGTACAAACTTGGCTACTTGGGTATTGAAAACGGGCTGTTGTACTGTAATATTATCTTCCGTTCAACTAATATCACAGGGAATTAAGTTGTTAACGAGGTCGTTAGCTAGCAAACACCACCACAAAGACTAGCAGCTTTGCTAGCATCTAGTTTAACGTGAACCCATAACCAGTTTAGCACGAACTCATAACCCATTTAGCACTTACTTAAGGAAAATTACAGACTTCTTATTGACCCTGCAACCTGATGGATTATGGTAGAAAACAAGGAAAAGCGAGAAATAAGTTCTGTTTTTCAAATAACCCCGAACCAAACTCCACTCAGAAATGCTTCAATTTAAATTTTGCTGATCTGGACAACAACGCAATGAAACAGAATATACTATACATATTTTTTTTTATAAATATATACCTCGTACTGGGAATTTCGGATAATATTAGACACATAATGCTGCACGTTTATGGCTTAAACTTTGAGAAGCTGTGGACACGCGGAAGACAACGAGGATCTAAATAGACTTGTTTTTCTTTACGTAAATAATACTACTAATTTAGATGTCGGTCGAACTCCAGAATGCAGTGTGCTTGTTATTAAAACATCTGGGCATGTGCTGTGTATGATGTACGTATTTACAAGTGAGTAAGAAACTAAAACACTATGAAAACGCAACACACGCTTTTTCATAAGTACAACGACGTCAAACGACGTCATCGAACAAACTATCTGCAAACTAATTAAAGTTAATAAAAGAAAATCCGAAAGCGAATCTTAAGTAGTCATTATAATGAAAGAGCATACTACACGCTGTCAATAAACGTGAAAAACTTACCACAGCAGTTTTCCCTCGCTTGCTTTCGAATTGACAGGCTGATTCTGTTACGCGCATGCGTAGAAAATAACCCAGGCCACTGCATAAACATGACCAAAGACGTAATGCTTGAACCGTAACAGAAAATGTTGCTTGAAAAAATAAGAAAAATCAAAGTCAGTTTTGAAATGCAAATAGAAAAACGTCCCACCCCCCCACCCCCAAAAAAACAAATCAAATTGTGTTTAAACTTCACTCTCTTACAATTAAAATACAAGCTGCTTTCAACACTCAAATTTAAAATTAACAATTCAAATGACACTTTATTCCAATTTAAACATATCACAATCAAATATTTTCACGTTAAGTGAAATTTAAGGGATACAAATAAGAAAAGGCAGGAATAAGTGAAGTGGAAGTTATAAAAGTAAGTTAGGCATTTGATTTTCCACCATCACACTCAAGTCACCTTCTCCACACATCCATTTTCCTTACTTCAACTATTTTGTGTTTTGGCTTGTTGCTGTAGTATGATGTAAGTTCAACATATCGAGGGTATCTTTCTGATACATCCCAAAGTTAAAATCCAGGTTTCTCCTGCATGTGTACATGAAAGGAGTGTTCTTGGGTTTAAGTGATACCACAAAACATAAAAATTAGAAATGCAAAGTGAGCTCTATGGGTTATTGGCGCAAGAAGTAGGATAGAAGTATAGCTCAAAAGATGGAGAAGGAGGTATGAGAACTGCAATAAGATGTGGAATAGAAGATTTGTCTTCTGAAAAATCTGATACTAAAGCAAATGACTATATTTCTTTCTAATAAGGGAAACAGAAAAACATTAGATGGTACTGAAAAACCCTCCTACTACATGCACAAAAAGGTAAATAATATGTGCTGTTTTTCGGGGTTCTGTGTTAGCCAAAAATGTTATTAAGCTAACCTAAATCTAAGTGAGTAGTTCTGCTCGCTAAATCTGAACAAACTGCAACTGAAATTTTTGAGCATCTTTGAGCTTCTTTGTTTTCGCCAGAAAACGTCTCCCGGCTTTGCAGAAACTTTATTTTGCAAAGCTATGTGTTCACAGCAAAGTGTTTGGACAGTTTAAGTGTTGCTTGTGGAACAACATTAATTCAATAGTAAATAGACTGTTTCCTATGTAGTTTTCCTACGCAAAACTTGTTTCATTCACCCATTCAAACACATTCATACAAGCACTATGCCTTATTTTCTCTCTCCACTGAAATGCTTTCTATCAAGGATACTTGGCATGTAGACTGGAGCAGCCAGGGATAGAACTACCAATATTCCAACTAGTAGATGACCTCCTGATGCACTACAGGCACTCGATAAATAATGATGTTAGGTAAATTTAAATAATTGTGATATTGAAACACAAACACATACACTGCAAAGCCTTGTCTATGCATCTCAGCTCAGCAGTCCACCACAGGGTAACGGTAAGTAAAGCTCTATAACAGTTTTATTACTGTCAGTTCAACACTAAGAGGCAGTTTCTGGAACAGTTTGGTCCACAGCACCTACATTTAGTGTGAACACGTTTTTCTGTGTCATGATCCCTGAGTCTCTCTCACTTCCCTGCTTCTCTGTGTTGGTGTTTGTGCACATTGTACTTCGTTTTGGGTCTTTCTGTCTCTCTGTCTCCCTGTCAGCAGCTCACCTGTCAGTAATCAGCTGTCCTGACTCACCTGCTGTTCATTGTCTATTCGGCTGGCTACTCAAGGCTTGAACAAAGATTTAATCATTGCCAGTTCCTTGCGTCAGCCAGTTCTCTCTGTGATTCCCATACCTGTGAGCCCTTAGAAGCCTGCGATTCCCTGATCACCTCTCTCTCAAACATCTTACAGACACAGAAACAAAACCTAACAACTAGAAACCACCAAAACACTAAAGGATGACTAAATGAGCAAGAAATAAAAAACTAAACCATAAAAAACCACTAAATCCCAGAATTCCAATAATCAAAACACATAGACACTGGGCCTCCAGACCCAGCACCATGGCAGTAAGGGTTTAAGCATGGCACTTTAAAGGACTGTGGCCCAGTAATGAGAACAGACTCATCATATTTGTAAATTAATATGATCAGTCTTACCATTAATTCATAGTAGGACTTCTCTGAGCAGTCTTGTAGGAATGACGTCTAATAAACATGTTGAGATTTGGAGGAAGTAATTATTGAAGTTAACTCAGTAAATCAAATCAGTTAGAAAGAGTATATGTAATAGCAGTACTCAAAGTAGCTGTACACAATTATATGTCTATCAAATGGTTATAAATCATTTTTTCTCAAATAGTTAAAATTTTATTTGTGAAGAAATTCATGAAGTCATTGCTGGCTCCTTTGACTACGATGACCTGGATGACTGAGAACCTTCACAGACATTGCTGGTTAAGGTTAAAACCAATCTACTGGAAAATTGAAGGGGGGCTAATTTTTCCTGAGTGGTACACAAAAGTGAAGTTTTCACAAGAATGCATTATACATCAGTAATGCAGTCCTTTTAAAATGTGAAGAACCCCAGGAAGCTCAAAAGACATTGAGAAGAGAAATAGAAAAAAATCCAGAAAACTCTCTGCCCTGAACACAACTGTTAAATGCAACAGTCCTCTGATTTATAATATTTTTTCAAAGCTTTACACATCCAAGGTTTGATATTTGAAAATATGTCCATTTCCTCCTTTGGGATTAACAGGTCCTCACACATATGCTGTGACAGTCTGTTATTTCATTCAAGTCATAGCAAACATTTTAGAATAAGGCTCAGTCAATACAAGAAAAACACAAGTATCTCCACTGACAACACCAGAATCAAGTGGACTTAAAACCATTGATTAAGCCCTTATTGTAAGTCCCTCCATCAGGGTAATTAGGCTGACATTCTTGTGCTTTGTTAAAAAACTGACATTTGACTGAAGACAGTCAGTTTTATTGCGTAAAGATTGTGCATTGGCATGGATGATTGTGACAAGAGGGATCCTCCAATGGCCTTGCCACTGAAGTCTCTGTCTCACTCCGTGTCTGCCCCTCTTCCATTGATTTAGTTCTCCATTCTCTCATTTTTTAACTAGAATATGCCCTTCAATGTGCATATCAAATAAATGTGTAGGACTGCTTTCTTACATTTGTGCAATATCTCTAACATTAGAAACTGGAATGATGCTGGAAAAAGTAGCTCATGCATTTACTAGTCCTAGACTTGACTGCTGTTCATTATTACCAGGTTGTAATTTAGGTTGCCTGAGAGGCTTTCAGTTGATCCAGAATTCTGCAGTGGGAGTAATGACAGGGACAAGAAAGAAAGAGCATATTTCTCCCATATTCTTATGCCATCTCTTTATTGGCTCCCTGTTAAATCCAGAACACCAGTTAGGACTATATCATCCTAATAGAGTACTTTGTTCTTGGACTACAGACATACTCATGGTTCATACAGGATATAACAATAGAATGGAAAGCAGAGGCAGCAAAGGGACTCAAACCCGGGTCGCTGCATTTCAGCCATTTGGCAAGTCTTCACCTGCTTACTCAATAATATTGCTTAAATCAAGTTATTCCAGAATTCCTCTTGTATTTGTGTTGGTTCTTTCGCCTTTTGAATTAATCTTGTTGTTTTAACTTCTGATGCATTATCTTTTGTTACATTAAATGTTTTGTTTGCTCAACTTGTCAATCTCTGTCTTGTTCTGCATTCCAGTCTACTTTAAACCGCTCATAACATGCTTCTTATATAAGACTCTCTTTGCACAAATAGCATTCTCAAATGAAGGCACAACTTATATGGACCTAATATACTACAGAGCAGTTTTGTACATAACTGTATCCTAAAATAAACTCCTCCATCAGCAGTGGCAGATATTCCATGTTGGGGTTAGCAAAAGGTTATCTGGACTGTCAATAAATTACACTTAAATTCATTCAATGTTTTTTTTATTATGATGCTCAAGATGATGATGGTTATTAGCTTGGAGGATGTTAACTTAGGCCTCAGTAAACATGGTACATTGTACCATTGTTTATACATTGTAGTTTACTGTGTAGTCTCCAACTGGAGATTAAAACCTTATGAAGGGTCCTCATTAAAAACAAACAAACAAATCAACTGGAAATATTAAAGTCTGCTGCAGGTGGTATTCTCAGCTTATGCAGACAACAGGATTAGAAGAACAGTAAAATGCTGCATTTGTCCACAGCCATGCTGGCAGTGGGTGAATAAAACACATTCAACCTAGTTTGATGAAGATATTATTCTGTCCTTAGGAAGTTAATAATAATAATAATAATAATAATAATAATAAATTGTATTTATAAAGCACCTTTCAAGACACCAAAGGACACTGTACAATAAGATAAAACACATAATAAAACAATGACACAATAGTTGAATAAGTATAGTGAGTTGAATAAAATGAAGACATCAGTAAGACAACTTCACAGTGACAGTGGATGGGGTAAACAAAGTTCAGCCTCCTTATAGCATGGTGAATAAAGCTGTTCAACAGTGTAACGGAGCAAGCACTGAGCCTCCGATATCTCCTCCCTGAGGACAGTAGGCTCAGGGTGAGGTGCTTGCCAGCATTGCTGATGGCTCTGCTGATGAGGCTGGTTTCAAAAATGTCTATTAAGGAGGGAAGAGGGACACCGATAATCTTGCAGACTGAGCCTTTTTGGCCAGTAATGTTGTGTCGTTGGACCAGGAGAAGTTCTGAAAGATGTGCACCGCCAGAAACTGTGCTGCCCAACCAAAAGTGAGTTCTTTCTCCCCACTGTCACTATTGCTTCCTCCATTGCTGGGGGTTGACTGTTCTCTTTATCACATTGTAGGGACTTTATCTTTTAATACAGGGCATGTTGTTACAAGTGCTGTTGTGTAATGGTCAGAGGTGGCAAAAGTACAGGCATTCTGTATGCAAGTACAGACACTAGAGTTGAAAAAATACTCCAATAAAAACACCTATTCAACCTTTTTACTCAAGTAAAAGTGAAAAAGTGCAGGCTCTGAAATGTACTCAGAATAAGAAAGCAAAAAGTAAGTCTTTGATTTTC